TTAATTTAAAAATGTATTTTCTTAGTTTTGGGGCATGTTAGAGGCACATGGCACAAAATTCAAGAGGTGCGTGAGGGCGAGAAAGAAGTCTCCTCACCCCACCTCCCGGCCGCACTCTCCTTTCCCTTGACCAGAGGCCAGGCCACAGCTATTTTCTGGTCGTACTTTCAGATTCGCTCTGCAAGCTCGCTCTTTTTCCTGGTTTGTTTTTTTTTTGACCCAAATAACTGTGTACGGCCCACGGGGTTTGCACCTTGCACACACGGAGATTAACGAATGCCTCATGGGCGCCTGGAGCCCTTCCTCGTTCTTCCTAACTGCTGCATAGTATTCCTTTGACCACACGTGGTTCGTTAGTGGCCCCTCTTGGGGGGTTCAGGTGCTGCCGGGCTCCTGCTGTCACAGGCAGTGAGTGTGGCAGTGATCGTCCACAGCCTGAGATGCTTTGCCCAGTCGTGTGTCTGTGGGGTAGGATCCTGGAGTTGGGGTTTTCAGGAGGAGCAGTTTAATCACTCGCCGAGTTCTCTGGTTTCTCTTCCCTTCTCCCACTCCTGTCTCCCTCCCTCGTTCGTCCCCTTCTCTCGCTTCCCCTTTGGTATCATGACTCAATTTCTGAAGTTTCTGACTAGGGCCGGATTTCAGGAGCCTGCTGCTTGGGAAATGAAGGCTGTTGGTACCTTTGTTCTGCCAAAGTTCCAGATGCAGAAGGGAGCCCTGGCAGGCTGACACCTTATTTTCCTGATGGGTGGCAGTGCCGTGCGTGGGATCCCAACACGACAGGAAATGTGGTTTTCCACCTGCCTCCCCAGGCTCCCCGCTGCACCAAGGCCCTGGAGCACGGAGACCAGGCTTGCCCTTCTCGGTGCCTCCTGAGCCAGCTGTGCTGGGACCGTGTGGCCAGCCCGGCTCCAGAGCCAGCGCCCGTGCTCCTAAGGCTGCTGGACCTCAGCTTGCTGGTCAGAGCAGTGGGTGATCACTGCAGAAGGTGCTGTGAGCACTCACGGGGCCTTAGCTCCTCTTACCACACGAGTATCTGGTGTACATGTGGGCTGATGTGCATGGAAAGGGGCGCCGAGCCCTCTCTTTTCTGCCAGAGACGTAATCAATCCTGTACTTAGAGCTCCAGGCGGCAGAGAAACTGCGCTGGGTCCTGGGAGCTCAGCCCCACTTGAGGTTTTCAGTCTGTCCTCAAGATCACTTTCTTTTGTTTCTCTTATTTTACGGGTTCCATCTGTCTTCAGCGTTAGAGTCCTATTTTTGTTTTAGGACAGACAGGGGGAAGGAGAGTGGGAGCTTCCTGGGCTGGTGTCTGATGTGGACAGATTAGAAGTGACCGCAGCTGGCTTCCTAAGGACGTGAGAGCCACACACAGGGATAATCTGGATGCCGAGAGAATTAACTTGGAGGGAAAAACCAGGCGGGGCCTGGCGCCTGGCAGAAGCCCTCTCCACCTGGTGTGGGTCACGTATACACACGCCTCAGGCTATCTCCTTCTGTCTGTCTGTCTGTCATGTGAGATTTCCCCCTCAGCTGTTGAAGATCTCCATCCCAGAGCTGGGGCAGAGGTTGGGCAGGGTGAGGAGACACGTTGGACCTAACCTGGCTGGTTGCAGTCACGTGCCAAGTGACTGTGGCAGGTTATTGCCACCAGTGCTCCCCTGGGGCCAGGATGGTCTGGGAATGAGGCAGGGGCTCTGAGGTGTCCACGGGGCTCAGAGATGAATGATGTGGGTTATGAGCTGGTTCCTGGCAACGCACTCTGTCCCCCTGCTGTGGGCTCTGGTGGCTCAGGGCTCAGCTGTGGTGTTCAGCCCGTCCCCTCATGAGGTCAGGGAAGCTGATGGATATTGGCTGCCATTCCTTCCAGAACTGCAGAGAAGCTGATTGATGGCGAGGACGCTGAAAGCATCGACCACTGTGGCTTTCAGATTGGGCTCCTCGGGGCCTGGGGTCCTGTGAGGTGTTAGGGGTAGAGGGGAGGGCGGCGAGGCATGTCCCACAGTGTGACCTGGTCACCTCTTTGCTGTGTCTTGCTGTCTCACATAGTGGCCTCCTTAAGAGTTCTGCTTACTGCCTGGTGGTCAGGAGGTGCTGGGGGAATGCTAGTTGAAGGAGCTAAAGGACAGATGTGAGAACTGGTAGGTGTCACCTCCGCTGTGTTATGTGGGGTGACGTGCCTGCTCACCATCGCTGAGAGGTTTCCCCCAGGCTTTGTGTGTCCCCTCCCTGAGACCGTGAGCCCTGGCTGTTTTGTTGGCGTGGTCCAAGCTGGAGCTGCGCCCACGAGGGCCATGCCCCGGGATTGGAATGGGAGACCGCTGGCCATGAGGAAGATGAGCAGACTCCAGCCAGGTTCCTCTGGGCAGCCAGCCCGCTCTTTCAGCCCGAAGCGGGCATTGAGGACTGGCTGGGGGTTCCTAAACCTCTCCCTTGAAACTGAGGCCAGAGAGGTGCGGCCGTCCGGTCTCCTCACCATCCTGCCTTTAGCTGGCTGTAGTGAAGGTTCTGGAAGGATGCTTCCTGCCCTCTGGAGTAACCAGTGTTTTCTTTGTTTTTCTCCACAGGAAGCGAGGGATAGAAGTCGTGCAGGTGAGTACAGACCATGCCCTGGCCATTGTTCGGGTGGACGGCCTGCAGCGCTCACCTTCCCCCTTCCCCGAGGAGTCTGGCGCTCGGCCCTCCCCACCTGCTCTTACTCCTCCCCCCATGGAGTGGACATGATTTCCACCCCGCAGGACACCAGTTGGGGCTGGTGATCCCTCGGGTTTGTGGAGTTGCTGTGCTTTGTCGGTGGAAGGAGCTGACTGGGGGAGCGGTGGGGCCCTTGGTGGGGGTGGAGGTGGGCAGGGTGAGCCAGGCACCCACGGCCCATGGTTCTGGCTGCTGCCATGGCCGTCTGGGCCTGTCCTTGGCTCTGCTGAGGGAGCTCAAGCCTCCCCCGGGCTCAGCCCTGGCTGTTAGCCTCCTGCGGATGTACCTTCTCCCACTTGGACCGTCCTTGTGTTAGGCCGACATGGTGTCATCTCCTCCACCTCCCCGTCATGACCCCTTTTCTGCTCTCAGTGACCATATCTGATCTTCCCTATGGATGGGCCCCTGGCTCCTGGAGGGTGGACTGAGTCAGTGGGGCTCCTGACCCCTGTGTTGCCTCACTCTGGGTTGGACTTGGGTCAGATGCTCATTGGTGGGAGGAAGGAGGGAAGGAAGAATGGAGAAAGAAGCTTTACCAGGGCATGGGGCTGGCTCTGTGGGCCCCAAATAGATGTCCAGGCTCGGACAGCAGCAGTAATGCCACACGGTTTGCTCTGAGAGTGGAGGGTGGGGGACGGGTCTCAAAGGGGAGCCCTCTGGTCAGCTCCACGAGTCCTGGCTGTTACGGCTCATGAGGGATGGGAAGCGGGGCATTTCCGTGTAGACATGAAGATACGCTCAGACCCTTTGTGAGGGGCAGGCTGTGACATCTGCACCAGAGGTTATGCCTGGTACCTAACGGGTACTTGTAAGACCCGAGAGTGGCCTGGTTGTGTTCACTGCCTTCCTTGCTCTCCCTGTCCAGGATGAATCTGTATGTCCATGCAGCTCAGCTGGTGGCCCTTCTCCTGGCCTGGCAGGCCTCTTCCAGCTGTAACCGCAGAGGCTCACTCAGGTGGGGGCTAGATCAGGGCTGGTGGGGAGCCTGGCCCCATGCTAGAATATCTGTGGGAGATATTCTGAGAAGCTCTCAGAGCCCTCCTTGTTAACTCCGGCCCAGTCTCCTCCCCCCCGGCCGGGAGGCCCCTCCTCAGCACCGCAGGAGAGGCTCCCCACACCTGGCAGGTTCAGCAGGCGGTGGTCTCAAGCCTCTGCTCCTGGGACCAGGGTGGGGGCGGTTCCTAGGGCGAGGCTGGGCATCTGTTTGGCTGCCATGGTGGAGGACTGCTGAAGTCTTCCTTCTGACCTCCCTCATCAGAGCCTGTGGTTGAACTTGTTCCTTGGAGGCTGAGGTTTGTTTTGGGAGAGGAGGTAGTTTTTGGAAGCCTCTCAGCGGCCGTGGATTTTTTCATCCTGCCTCACGTAGGCTCTGCAGAGTGGCAAGATCTGCACTGAGCTTTTTTGTGGACCTCAGTTCCTCCAGCCATCAAGAGGGGGATGTCAGAATTCAAGAAGGGCTAAGAAGTGTGCTTTCGGGGCCAATTCTGATTGATCCGTAGTGGGTGCCTGGAAGATTCTAAATCTGTGAGTGGCTGAGGACAGGGATTGACTGATAATGCATGCTGGGGTCCAGCAGTGGGCAGAGGACGTACCGTTGTATGTGCCACCCCTACCATGAGAGAGGAGGGGAGCTTCAGGATGTGAGGGACAACCCAGGGGTCAGTGTGTTCACTTTACGTGGGTTCCCGGGAGGACTCAAGCCTTTAATCTGCTTAGTCTGTGGTGGAACGGGAAACTGGAGCCATTGTTTTAGAATGTACCAGGCAGAAGAAGAGTTATGAAATCTTCTTGATGTGTCTGCTGTTCAATTTGGCGATGGCTTGGGGAGGAAGTGGTGGCTAGGGCCAGGAGTGAAGGCAAACTGGATGCTTTCCACATCAGCATCTAAAAATAAAACCCACTGCGACGCCTCTCTGTTCACCTCCTC